CATCTCTTTTCACGTTCAGTCTTACAAATTTTTCTATCAAGATCAATGTAGATTTCGTGAGAATTCCCTCTTAGCTTGCAGAAAGGTTCAAAATGATCAGATGATTGTCCAATCACCTTAAAAGTGACATTTGTTTTCTTGTGAAGCTGTTGGAGATTCTCGAGATCTTTTACATATTCCTTGCAGTTATAACACAGGAGATGATACATGAAGACCACCATGACCCATCACTCCTGAAATGGGACCTAGGTGCACCAGCCTAATGTGAGCTTCAGCACAGGCAGCTCTGCCACAGCAGCCATCAAGGGCTGCCTGTCATTGGGGTCTGTCAGGACCAGGGCCAGGGCTGCACAGGTGAGGATCTGCCATGTGACGGGGGCAAGTACAGCCAACATGTGCTGGGTTATTAATAAACGAACAAGTTAACCATAACTGTCTCTGGTACTTCTCTACTGAGAATGCTGTCACCACACCACTTTACCCAGGTGGGTGGTCTATGGTTGAGGCTTCCCCCAACCCCACTCCACTGCATTCCCACATTATCAACAAGGAGCTGGCTAGAAAATACAGCAGCAGGGACATGAACCAGTGCCCATATTGGATGCTGGCATTACAGGTGGCAGTTTGACCCGCTGTACTATAATATCACCCCTACCAAAACCTTGAATTATTTACTTATATAATGAAAGAAGAGACATTTCATTTTTTTAAATTAATAATTCTCTGTTCAGCACAACATTAAAAACATCTGTATCCACTTCTGGGGATGAATTAAGACATTTCCTTCCCACAGCCAAGTAATTGACTAAATCATGAGAACACATCAAAGTGTGTGGAAAAATGTGTAGTATATCTTCATTCCATTTTCCATCAACTTCTTGCGATGTTACTGTATCTGTAGTGCATTTTCATGAGAGCAGAGCTCTGTAGGTGTTTACTAGGAAAGTCCCTTCCTTGCTGGTGTTAAGAAGTCCACAAAAATTTGCCTGGACAAGTTCACATCTAAGCTGCCTCCTCATTAAAAGTTGACTTCTAATATTTTTTAATTAATCTGTTAATGCCTTTGTGCAGTAAGGTGTTTTCTATGATTGGGTCATAAGTATTCTAGGACAAGTAAATCTTTCAGTCCTTGAGTCAGTGAGTCTGAAGTAAGCAGGCCTGTCATCCCTGGGTAAAGAAGCTTTCCCTTTGACCCCATGCGCCCTATAGTCATTACCGTTGTCCACATATACTGTGGCAATGAAGACTGTTGGGCAACAGTTGTATGGAGAATAGCGTTATATAAGGTGTTCCAAGGAATCATGGATAAAATATAAGTCTGAGAACTGAGTGGTACTGTGACATGGTGTTCTTTGACCCGTGAAGTATGGTTCACACATTAAGTACATTCATATTATTGCCATCACTTTCTTTATTCTCATCTTCCCAGACTGCAGTGCCATGCACATTAAACATTACCTCCCCATTCCTGTCTACTCTGATAACCGCCATCCTATTTTCTGTGTATGACTTTGTCTACCCTACTTGGGATAAGTGGAATCAGGCAACCTCCTGCCACCTCCTTATTTCACTTAACAAAATGTCATCAGGATTCGTTTGTGTTGTAATGTGTCAGAATTTTCTTCCTAATTAAAGCTGAATAAATTTTTGTTTATCCCTACACTATTTTTGGACCCTGAGTTACTTCCATATTTTGACTATTCTGAATGATGCCATGTACATAGATGTGCAAGTGTTTGAGTCTCTACTTCTTTCTTTTTTTATTGGAAAGGCAGATATACAGAGAGGAAAGACAGAGAGGAAGATCTTCCATCCGATGATTCACTCCCCAAGTGAGAGCAACGGCCGATACTATGCCGATCCGAAGCCAGGAGCCTCTTCCGGGTCCCCCACACGGGTGCAGGATCCCAAAGCTTTGGGCCGTCCTGCTTTCCCAGGCCACAGGCAGGGAGCTGGATGGGAAGCGGGGCTGCCGGGATTAGAACCGGCGCCCATATGGGATCCTGGGCGTGCAAGGCGAGGACCTTAACCACTGCGCCACCACGCCAGGCCCTTGAGTCTCTACTACTTTAGACAAACAAACAGTACAGCTCATATGATAATTGACTTTAATTTTTTTAAAAATATTTCTTTTTATTGGATAGTCAGATATACAGAGAGGAGGAGAGACAGAGGGAAAGACCCTCCATTGGATGACTCACTCCCCAAGTGGCAGCAACAGCCAGAACTGAGCCAATCCAGAGCCAGGAGCCTCTGGATCGTCCAGCGGGTACCAGGCCCCAAGGCCTTGGACCATCCCCAGGCCACAAGCAGGGATCTGGATGGGAAGTGGGTAATGGGGATTAGAACCAGTGCCCATGTGGGACCCTGTCACGTGCAAGGCAAGGACCCCAGCTACTAGGTTAGCACACTGGGCCCATGGCTTTAATTTTTTAAGAAATCATTCGGTTCTCCATAACCACTGCACCACTTCACATTTCTAATAGCAGTACCCAAGGATTCCAGTTTGTCCACATTCTCTGTACTGCTTGCTTTCTGATTTTTGATAATTGCCATCGAAATGGGTATAAAGTGGTGTCTTATTACGCTTTTCATATGCATTTCCATAATGATTAGTCATGTTAAATATCTCTTCATTAGCTAATTGGTGAATTCATTAGCCCTTTGTTTTTCTTTCATGGGGCCCAAATTGTGGCATAGGAGGTTAAACAGCTGTTTGCAACACCAGCATTGCATATCAGACTGTCAGTTTGAATCCTGTCTGCTCCACTTATCAAGAGCAGAAGATGGGCCAAGTGCTTGGGCCCTGCCACCCACGTTGGGAGATCGTGGAGTTCTATCTAGATTCCTGGCTTCATCCTAGCCCAGCCCCCATTGTTATAGGCTTTGGAGAGTGAACAAACATTTGAGATCTGTCTTCTCTGTAATTCTGCCTATCAAATAAACACATGTTTCAGTTTTTTATTCTTTTCATAGTTGTCCAGCCAAAATTACCCAAGCCTTGGTCAGAAACAATTTACTGTGTAAAATTAAGTCAATGCAATCTTACTTTTTTTAAAGATTTATTTTTATTGCAAAGTCAGATATACAGAGAGGAGGAGAGACAGAGAGCAAGATCTTCCGTCCGATGATTCACTCACTTAGCGACTGCAGCGGCCAGTGCTGCGCAGATCTGGGGCCAGGAACTTCCTCCAGGTCTTCCACGCTGGTGGCTGCAAAGCTTTGGGCTGTCCTCAACTGCTTTCCCAGGCCGCAAGCAGGGAGCTGGATAGGAAGCGGGACTGCTGGAATTAGAACTGGTGTCCATATGGCATCCTGGCACATACAAGGTGAGGATTTAGCCACTAGGCCACCATGCTGTACCCATTATTTTTTTTTTTTTTTGCTTTATTGTTTATTGACTTTTTTATGACTTTTTAATTTTTTCAATTTTATCATTGATGATGTTTACATAGTGGGAAGGGTCGAGGGTCAGGGGATAGTGGGTGAGACCATTGTTTACACATTTTCTTACTGGGTTTTTTTTTTTTTAAGAAGTAGGGAGTGAGCTCCCAGCTGGTGGTTTACTCCCAAATGCTATTATAAGGTCTTGGAATAAGCTAGGCTAAAGCTAGAAACCAGAAACTCGGTACAGGTCACGGCCGTGGGTGAGGGACCTTCTGCTTGAGCCATCACCTGATATCTCCCAGTCTGTTCTAGTCAATGTCAGGCACTCCGGTATGGGATAGAGGCATCTTACTAGCATTTTCTCCGCTAGGACAAACCCCTGCTCCGAACACCCTTCATTAAAGAAAAATTCTGTGAGAACTCAAAACGGCTTGTGGCCCTCAAAACCGTAATTCTTGATGTGGCCAAGAATCACCAAAAATTCAGTGTCTTTTGAGTAGATTGAGTTAAGTAATTTTTAAATTTCTATTTTGTGCTTTCTGGTAAAATTTTCCATGGTACTTTAATGAATATGCCTGGTTATGTGATTAAGTCCATCTTTAACTCATATTTCTACAAAAAAGGAATCGAAAAGCTGAGAACAAATGAAATGGGTGTGGGCTGTTCCTTACATTGTTGGCCTTCTCTTGGGATTACAGCATTTCCCACGGTTGTTTTTAGGACGTATATTCCCAAATGTAGTTATAGTCCAAGTATATGCTGTCTATAAAGAGAATGCGCAGCTTCTAGAGCTGCGAAAGGTGATGTTTACCAGGGAATCCAGCTCGGCTGAGAATGTCAGATTCTATAGCTGGAAAAGTAGTACTTGCCATTGAATCTACTTCAGCTGAATTTCATTAAAAGAAAATACTTGCATTTGAGTTCTTCATGATTATGTTTTACTGATTTTCCTATAATATCTTTATGTAATACCAAAAATATTAATCACTCTTAAAAGCTATTGGGTCTTTAATTTTGAAAGAGAATCACTTAATAGTAAAAGCAACAAGAAATAATTCTCATTGAGTATCTGTCTGCGATAGATAGATATATTCCCTGCACCTAGTCTGGCATGCTAAAAATAATATACTTCATTGTTGAGTCTTACGTCCTCCTCTTGTGGTTTGGGGTCATTATTAAGTAAAATAATGTTTAACACAAATATTGCAGTACCACGCAGTCAGTCTGATAACCCAGGAGGCTAGTAAATGGCAACATGATATACACAACAAAGAGATGACATATGTCCCAGTAGACTGAGTAACCACTGGAGATTTCATCTCAGAGCAGTGTAAACTTAAAACTTACAAATGTTTATTTCTAGAGTTTTTCATTGAACATTTTTGTGCTTCAATTGGCCATACATTATAAACCTGCTAAGAGGGTTGACTGTGTGGGCTGCCATTTCCTCAGTTCGCTTGGTCTGCAGCTGCATAGTCCTATCCATCTCTGATATTATTCTTATCTACATTATGTACTTAACTGTAAGATTTATCTTATGAATGTTTCATTTACGTTATAAATATATTTTAAGGTTTATGCTGGTTTTCTTAATTCTTTTTCCCCTTTTGTAGCTATATGCAGGAGCCATTCTTGAAGTCTGTGGATGAAAATTGGGGAGGTTCCCTCAAGTCCAAGGTATGTAGTAAAATCTAATCATTTAAAATTAAAATCTCACTAAAAATATGCCACTGTAAAATTTAGTAGAGAATGAGAGGAAGATAGCAAAGGAGGAAGATGGGTGGGCAATGTAGGCTAGAGGCAGGGTAGGGTGGCAGGTGTCACCCTGCTCCTAAATCTGTATCATCATATATGTGAAATTTGTTCACTTTATATAAATTTTTTTAAAAAGAAACTCAGAAAGGTAAATAAAATCAACATTTCATTAAATGTTTCCAGAGTAAGAATTTTTTTCACTTTATTTTTTGTGGAGATACTTTTATAGTCATTGATAAAGACTTAGTTACTTTACCATAAGCAAACACATGTCGTCAGGCTAGTCCATGTTAAATCTCAAACCTTCAGATGTGGCAGATAATTTGTGAATTTAATGTAGTATTGAGATTAGCAGGAGGTTTCATTTTTTAATTATGATTGTTCATTTAATGGAGCTGTGGGGTTAAAGGATAAGGTGAAATAAGAGAGGAAGCTCTCCCATCCGTTGGTTCACCTTTCAAATACCTGCAACAACCAGGACTGAACAGACCAAATCTAGGAGCTAGGAACCAGGGCTCAAGTAGCTGGGCTTCCTCTACGGCCTCAAGTGCTTCAGCAGCAGCTAGACTGAAAGTGAAGTAGATGGGCACTGAAACATGGATATGGGCATGCCAGGCAGCCCATTAACCTATGCCACAGCACCCTGTCTGAATAGGACTGTTTTGAAGATTAAGCAATGTATACGTTACTTCGTATAAGTCTGGCATTGGCAAATACAGAATAAATCACACTCTGTTCTAAATGTGTTAACTGAATGCTTGACTGCAGATCAAGTACTGTTTAGTACCGAGGATGTTAAATGGTAGTTTTTACTGTTACAAGTTTTGTTTCTTTGGTGAATGCATTTACTTGTTCCCTTACTGGCCATGTTTTTTAGCAATATTTGAAATCCAGTATATATATTATAACTATAGTCTGTCTCATAGTTAGCAAAATTCTCTTCTGTGTCTGCCTCTACTTGCTCACCTAACTCTACAACCTGGCTTCTCTTGGTGCCAACTTACCTCCTCATAGACCAATCTTACTTCACTCCCCAGCATTTGAAACTTTCTTCCCTTTACTTGTACAACTCTATTATGTCTTAGTTACTTCCTTCTAATATTTTTTATTCTTCTTTCCTAGCTTCTCTTCTACTACCCTCCTTCAAATGTTACTTTTAGTCAGAGTCTTCAAATTTTCTTTTCATGTTCTCAAGAATTGATGTTGGATTACTTTTCACAGAATTATTTTTTTCTTTTAAGAGAGAGTCATAGAACTTTCCATCTATTAGTTCATTTCCTATTGTCCCCAATAGCCAGGGCTTGGCCAAGCTGAAACCACAAGCTAGGAGTCCACTCGGTTATCTCCCAGTTGATGATAGGGAACTGTCTCCTGCTGCCTTCCAGGCTGAGTATTAGCAGGAACCTAATGAGTTCTAAAGGAGTTGGAAACAGAGCTGGAACTCAAACTCAGACATTCTGATAGAGATCAGACATTCTAAGCAGCATCTTAACCACAACACCAGGGCGTGCCACTAAATACCATGTTTCTGACTCCCTTTGGATACTTCCATAACTGGTACAGACATGAGTCATCAGGCAATCTTATTAAACTATGGAGTGTAATACTGAAGATTTGTATGGAAGAATATGTACAGTATATTCTAATTTATGTGAAGTTAAAAAGCAATCTGAACTAAATGATTAGCAACGCACAATTGGTAATGACCATAAGGAACAGCAAACAAGGGATTAACAAGTTTGGAATCATAGATACATATATCTATAAGAGGAAGAGTAAAGGAACACATAGACGCCTCATGGCTTTGCAGTGTTTTGTTTTCATTTTGGGTACCATGTACAAAGAAACATTCATTGTCTTTAAACTGTATGCGTGTATTTCCATGTATTCTTTTCCATGCTTGATATAATCTGTAATAGGAAAATGATTTAAAACTTTTAATTTCAATTCTGTACATTTCTCATGGGCCCTAAGACTTGCTGCTTCTGATAGTTTTGAGATTGTACGCCACATTTTTAGTGCAAAGCCTTTAAACACAGCTTGTCTAAAACCTGAATCGATTCTCTTCTCTGGTAATTTACATCCTTTTCCTGTTTCCACAAATGGCAGCATTGTCAGGCGAAAGCATGAAGCATGAAACACAAGAATCACGATTAATCTTCCACACTTTATACGCAATTACTCACCAAGTTGTACGTGTTTTCCTGTTTAATAACCTTCATATCTTATTTCCTTCCTTTTCTCTGTGCTTTTAATTGAGCCTTTAAATATCTTTATTCAAAAGATTGGTTACTTGTTAGCTGGTGTTCCTGTCTTTGTATCCTTTCCTTACTGTAGTGCTTCTTCCACACAACTGCAAAAAAGACATACCTGAGTATATTATGCTTTTACTGAAAGTCCTTTATGGTCCTCTATCCCATACAGAATGGTTAACAACATCACATACATAAAATCTACAATCATGTAGTCCCTCATACCTAGGTTCATACCTCTGGTTCATGCAGAATTCAGGGAACTGCCACTGACTTGTCTCTGCACACACTGAATTGTCTTAACTTGGTGCCTCTTGCCAGTTCTTGGTGACAGATTTTTATTCATTCGAAATATAATTTCAGCATGATTTTGGGTAGCCTTTGGGTGGAATTTTTTATCCTTTATATGCTGCATTAGTAAATCCCAAATGACATTGAAAAATATTTGCCATACCACTGTTTCCCTACCAAACTAGGAATACTTTAAAGTACAGAATTTTAAGATTTTTAATCATTAATATACTGAGAGGGACCAGAATTGGGATGCATCAGGTTAATCTACCACTTGAGAAGTCAACATGCCACGTGATAGTGCCAGTTTGAGTCCCAGCTGTTCTGCTTTCAATTTGTCGTCCTGTTAGTGTGCCTGGGAAGGCAGAAGTTGGCCCATGTCTTTGGGCCCCTGACACACCTGTCTTCCTAGCCGAGATCTTGCTCTTGCGTCAATTTTGGTAGTAAGTAAGCAGGTGGAGATTTCTGTCACTGTGCCTTTTAAATGAATAAATGAGCCTTTAATCTTCCTAATACTACACACCTGGCATTTAGAGGAATTCAAATATTTGTGGAAACAGATGCATTCGTGTACTGAATTTACTCCCCAAATGGCTACAGCAGTCAGTGCTGGATCGTGCTAAAGCCAGGAGCCTAGAGCTCCATCCTGCCACTTCGGTGGCAGGAAGCCGAGCACTGAGGCCTCACTCTGCTTCCTCCTAGGTCCATTAACAGGAAGCTGGGTCAGAAGTGAAGCAGCTTGGATTCAAACTAGCAAACATATAGGATGCTAGCATCACTGGAGTTGGCTTTACCTTACTATACTTCCATGCTGGCTAATCATTCATTTGAAACTTCCCAAGAATCCTGTGTCTTAGATGAAACCTTTTAGTGACATCATAATAATATTTTTGAACCATTATATAAATTGTGGTTGGTATTTAGTATTTTTTCACTTAATATTTTTAAAGATTTCATTTAGTGCATCTAGACTTTTTTATATCTTTTTTTAACAACTGCGGGAAGCCAAACAATCTATAATGTGCTTCTTCAGCATGGTAATTTACTTCGATATCATTAACTATAGACCAATATAGTTTTCAAATAATTTTTATTGTATTTTTATTATTGATTGCATAGTTCAGAGGGTTGCATCCCCATGTGGGCCTCTGATTTATTTGTTTCATTATTTAAATGTTTATTTTATTTTTTATTGTTTATATAGTTAAGAGGATAGCATGCCCATGTGGGTGAGGAGTGTCAACGTGTGGAGAAAAACAGTATATTAAATGTTTGATTTTTTTTTTTCCTCCTGTCTACAGAGGGGGTGGGGTGGGATGGGTTGGCATTCATTGCTGTTAAACTACATCCGCATCCAGGCTATAATTTTTAATGGTTGGCTATATTTGATAATATACATGTAAATTTGATCAACAGCCTTTTACATATTTAGATTGTTTTCCAATTTTTGGCTTATTTATCATAATTACCTTAGTATTAGTTATTTCCTGCACATAAACACCTATAGATGTCAAAGATATGTGTGTTTTAAGCCTTGTGGTTCATTTGGCTGTATGCCCATGAGGAAGGAGATATCTGTACACACCCTCAGTGAAATCCCTCTCCCATCTACCTGTAGAATTCTTTTCTCTGTTTCTCACTCGGGATGTGGTTATTTAAGTTCTTTATGCTGTAAATTGTGGTGGTTCCCTGAACTTTTTTTTAGCACTTTATTTTTTTAACATTATTTATTTATCATAGTTATACCTTACTAGACTATAAGCTTCTTTAGAATGTCATCTGTTTTATATAGGTTTATTTATGCTCTGTGTCATATAATAAATATTTGATAAGGATCTGCTGAATTAATTTAAAATGTGTATACATTTGGCATATTCTATAGCAGAACAAATCCCACCATCCCATAGTTTACTTTTTAAAATCTGCTTCGACTGCTCTTTCACTTTTCTCTTACAGCTGTGCTGTAGTATTGTTTTGTCAAGCCCCAATTCCATTGGAATTAGGGGTTTGGGAAATTTAAAACAATTAACTCTCAAAATATTTAATATTCCCATCAAAAAATATGGCATATCTATCCATTTATTCATACATGTTTGAAGTTTTTTTAATATAGGATGTAATATTTTCTGTTAAGTTTGTTTCTATTTTGTGTATTGATCTTGGCATCTAGCTAAAATTTGGAAAGCAACAACTTAAATCTTTTTTCTCTCGTAAGCTTTTGTCAGGAGTGATAAGCCCAAACTGTTCAGAGGACTACAAATCAAGGTAAGAAAATGGTAACGGAATCTCTTTTCTTCTGGTATGTATTTATTTGTTTCTTAAGTAAAAGAAATATTTGAATAAATAATTATTTAATATTTTATAGAAGAGCTTTTTTGGTTTACAGAAGAATTGAATAGAAAGTAGTGTATCTGTGTGCTAGAGGGCACACACCCTAACCCTGTTTCCTGTTACAACATCTTGAATTTATAGGATACATTTGTTACAACTGAAGAACCCGTGTAGATACAACATTATTAATTACACTCTGTAATTGCATTAGGGTTTCCACCTTGTCCTGTGGTGTATTCCCAAATGCATAATACCATGTATCCACGAAGTCTTCTCTCCATGCAGCCTGCTCCTATTGCACCCTAGCAGGTAGTAGGTGGCACCCCAGCGGCTTGGGCCCTTGGCTCTTTCTCTTGCCCCTCCCTTTCCATCTTTCTCTCTCCCTTTGCTTCTTTGCCTTCCTAGCAGATGAAAGTAAATAAGTAATTGTTCCTAAATGGGAATACCTTAAAAGCTCATGAAAAATAAAAACACCAGTTTATTTTGGTGCAAAATATTTTTTAAATCCCTGTGTAGTTTTTTGATACCATGTATTTTCATAAACTTTTTAAACATTCCTTTCACCATTGTTCCCTATTGTTAATCTCCATTGGATTTGAAGTTCATTTTAATTTGACTATTAAATAAGTATACCGTAAATGTTACATTCAATAACAGTCTTAGATCTTAAATGAATTATTTTAATGGTGGTTTTTTTCTCTTTTGAAGTAAAGTACAACTTTTTCTCATTTTCTTATGAAATTCCATTTAGGTCTTTCTAAAAAGACTTCCTTTGAGACTAACTGGTTTGTGATGTTATGTCTAAAAGCTTTTTTTAAAAAAAAAAAATTACTGTCATACTTAAGTAAGCCCTCTTGACCTTGGTCAGAGCTGGGAAACTGTGCCTAAGCAGCCAATACTGACTGTGTCCCTCTTGTTTGCTAGTATGTCCGTGGGTCAGACCCTGTGCTAAAGCTTTTGGATGACAACGGGAACATTGCTGAAGAACTCAGCATCCTCAAGTGGAACACAGACAGCGTGGAAGAATTCCTGAGTGAAAAGTTGGAGCGCATATAAATGTTACTTGATTTTTCTCCATTGTTATCAAATGAAACACTCCAGCACCTAGAAAATATGTTGCACTTCCTTCCCTGGTTCAGGCTATTTTCTGCAGGGCATTAAACATCTAGGTAGAAGTTGAAGTGGCATATCTGTGGAGTTAGCAAGCTCTCCAGAACCCTTTTTTCTTTTTTTATAGATTTCTGTCCTCCTGCATTTGTTGATACCACTAATGAAATGCTTTGTAACAGGCTTGTGGTTAATTATGCAAATGAGAGTTTGTGATAATTGGTCCAGTTTTGTGAACAGCGGATTTTTAAATTGGGGAGATTATTAAGGAAGATGATTATTGTGCCTCATGGCTGTGTGTTCTTTTGAAAAGTAATGACAGAAAACCACAGAGCAAATAAGACATACCAAGCCTCGACATTTTGCCTGCTTCTCCAAGCTGCTCATATTTTTTTTAATAATGCCTAGATTTCCTTTTCTTAGAAATGTTGTTTGTATTGTATAATGTATGTATTGCATTAAAAACATTGTAGCTTCGTTATTATGAAACAGATTGGAGATTCAACAGTAAGGGTGAAGCATTCACAAAAATTTGCGTCAGTGAAGACCACACAGAAAACCTTTCTGAGGATTTGTGTGAATCTGATATTTGGCAGATTTTTGTGTTTTTACATTCCTTACAGAAAAATACATTTAAAAAATCGTTTGTAAGACCAAAACATAAATAAAAACTTTGAAAAATCCATAAGTTGGAAATTTTTATGGTTTGTGCTTTCATGTTTCGTAATAACCTGAAATTCTTTAAACATAATTTATCAGAGGTTTGCAGAATGTCTCAGAGACTGGCTGTTTTTACCAGCAGTTTCTGTTAAAGCCAGCATCATAATGAATAAATAAGTAAACTTGGCTAATTTGGCTAATCACGGTATTATAAGAAATCCTGGCATATGGATCTTGGATCATGCATAGCAATGGAAAAGGACCATCATTTTGATAGTATCAGGCCTGACTAATATGCCAGTAAGCCGTGATGATTATTACAAGTAAAGAACAAGAGGAAGCCTAAGCCAATTGTTGACAGTGGGGGAAAAGAATTTTTTAAAGAAAAATCAGTAGGAACAGAGTTACCGCCACATGCAGAAGAATAGTGGGATTGAAGGATGAAACTTCGAACCTGAGGTTGGCATAGAAAATTAATTAGATTGGTTTCTGGACAGGAAGAGCCAGTTAAATGAGTATCTGGCATTGGAATTTGAAAAGAACAACCTGGAAAGAGAACTAAAAGACTGTTGTATTGAAGTTATTGTGCAAGATCAAAGATGCTGAAGAGCCCTGGAGTATCCAGAGCTTCAAATCCTCAAGCTGGAATAAAGGGATTCTTACCAAGTCCTGTGCTTTAATTGGGAAGTTCAAATTAATCAGCCACTTCCAACTATTTCTTGCCAATTGCAATCAAAGAATGGCTTTTTAAGAAAACAAAACTGCTGATCACCAAGAAAGAAACATAAAATACTTACATAAAAGTACCATTTTCTGGCTAAATTCTGCCATTTATTTACATTTAGTCAAATCCATATAGACATAGAATAGTGATTTGATATTTATAACTTTGCTTTCTCTGCCAAAATTGCATTACTCACAACTTAAAACAGTCATCTCCAAAGTTCAGAATTTGGCAAAAGCCAAAGTATGAGCCAAAAAGGACACCCACAAAGTCAGCTGGCGCAGCTCAGCAGACCTCGCCATGCTCTTCTGAGTAAGTCACTCCACGGTGGGAAACTGCTACTGGCCGTCAGTCTTTTCTCATTATTGGGCCTCCTTACGGCATCTGATGCCTGCGTTTCGCCAGCTGCCTAAAACACATGAAATAGAAATTGACCCCCAACCTAATTTTTAAAGATGTAGTGAAATTCTTTAGTCTTTGTTTATTTTCCCCTGTTGGTGGCTAAAACATGTACTACTTAACACTAGTCATTAGGTAAAGGAACATCTTAATGAGGGAAAATGTATCCCTCTCAATAATGAATGCTGTTTCCAAAGGTAGCCTTCAGGCACTGGAGAACAAGGCAGAGTTTACCAACAAATCAACTTTCAGACTACTCAAATCCAAATAGTTCCTTACATAACACTTTTCTTAACAACAACAAAAAAAATTTATTGGTCTCAGTGTGATAGCCTATTGTCTGAATCCTTGCCTTGCATGTGCCAGGATCCCATATAGGTGTCAATTCATGCCCAGCTGCTCCTCTTCCCATCCTGCTCCCTGCTTGTGGCCTGGGAAAGCAGTAGAGGATGGCCCAAAGCCTTGAGACCTTGCATCTGCATGGGAGACCTAGAAGAAACTCCTGGCTCCTGGCTCTGGACCAGCTCAGCTCTGGCTGTTGCAGCCACCTGGGGAGTGAACCAAAACAGAAGATCTTTCTCTCTGTATCTCCTTCTCTGTAAATACGCCCTTCAATAAGAATAAATAAATCTTAAAAAAAAATTATTGGGAGCTTCTGTATGCCAGTCTACCTCCTCAGTGCAAGTCAGGGCTAGGCCAAAGCTGGGTTCTGGCACATTCTCTAATAAAGAACCTGGGTACTGGCCTCTAGGCCAAACCTTTGCCACAGATAACATTTTTACAGCACCTCAAAGAACAGTGATACAGTTCTGATGTACCTGCTACCCAGAGGCACAGTGATCACACTGACTGGTGCATTTTTGAATTTCCCATCACCGCACCTCCAGGTGCCTTCTCCAGCACTGGCCAGGGTATGGAAATAGCAAGTGAAACAGGCACACAGCCTCAGTTCTCCATTAGAAGGCAGACTGAGTTGAAGCTCTCCTTAATAAATTCGTATGCATTTGTGAATTTGATTTGATCATTCAGTGATCACAAACAAAAGGTTCTCCTTGCCTGTATCACCTGGAAGTGTCAGCACGGAAACTACCCTTTGATTGGCTGATCACCAAACTCAGGAGGATTATGGAATGTGCACTGGAAAAAATCATGGATATCTAGTGCTATTTTGCTTTTGCTGGAAAGAAAATGGGTCCAGAGAGACTAACTGATGAGCCAAGACCACCCTGTTCACTGGTCTGCTGCCCCCTCCCTGTCATTTTTCTGGATTCTTGTGGTGGAAACAACTTCTTCCATAGTCACTTGTTATCTTCCCCATAAGAGGTTTGTGTCCCTTCAGCATCCTGGGCCAGGGGGGAGAGTTTATAAGATTCAGTGTGGAGTATTATGATATCAGTAATAGCCTCAAAAGGCCAAGGGTAGCAAAAGGACGACTACAGCTGTGTCTCCACTGATGTCAACAGGTCAGCCCATTTTTACTCATGATTCTAAAATGTTTTCCTCAATGTTTCAAATCTTCCATGACAGTCATCTAGGGTCTTGAAAACAGTCCCTAGGAGTTCAGCCTGTAATTTTAAATATAAACCACAGGTCTGAGGCCATTTTTATAATGGACAGTCTTTCAGGGGTACAGACCTAAATTATGAGTGTTACAGTTAGGACAAGAGCAGCAGCTTGTCTCCAGATTATGGGAGAAATGGCCTTCTTCCTTCATGTTTGATGGCTGAATGCATCCATTCCACCATCAGGAGAGATTGTTGGTAGACCAGTGGAAAGCAAAGAAGACTTCGGAAAGCTCCTTTCTACAGTTTCCAGGTTCAAACACTTCATATCTTAATAACTGAGAAATCTATCTCCAGTTAGGATTATGGGGGAGGGGTGCAGCAGGGACAAAAATTATTTCCCTTTAAAAATATCGGCCCTGGGACTAAAGAGCGAGTAGACTGCACAAGGCCACAAACTGACTGGGACCAAGAGCTCACTGTGTGTCACCCAGAACACTGCACATGGGAAGGAAGCCTAGTCACAAGGAGGGAATAGTCTGGACAGGGTGACATTGGAGTGTTTCTGACATCAACGCGCGTTCTGTAACTGGGATCTTCAGGGGAGGCATCTCGCTGCACAGGTAAGAGAACAGAAAGCTGAACTTGTATTCCAATCTCATGGGCCATTCTCTCCAACCCTCTGCCCTCACCCTCCTCTGCTTCAGCCTCATGGCCACTCACCAGGAAGGCTTCCTTATAGTACTTGGCTGTGCTCTTGAAATGGCAAGGGGCAAAGAGGGCAACTGCCATGAAGCTGCCGCAGGTCCAGGATGGTGATGAAGAAGCAGGAGTAGAGGCAAAACTGTAGTCCCCAGAGCAGGCGGCAACAAGTGAGCTCCGACCTCAAAGAGAATCTCCAAAACATGGGAGCTGCCAATCGCTCGAGGCCTGGGCCCAAAAGTACCATGGTATCACTAAAGCCATCTTCTACATGTCAATAAATCCCAACCAGATTCAGGGGAAAGAAACAGTCTCAGGGGAAGAGTATTAGAAGAATTACAGATCCATGTTTTTATGTTCCTGCACTTACCTGCCACCCAGAATGTGTGAGTGACTTTTTGTAGTATCTTTGTCTTGGAATTTCACCACTCCAGGCTTATTTTTAAAGCTCTTTGAAGAATATTTGGGGCCCAGCGCAGTGGCACAGTGGTTAAGGTCCTCACCTTGCACACCCGGGATCCCATATGGGCGCCGGTTCTATCCCGGCAGCCCCGCTTCCCTTCCAGCTCCCTGCCTGTGGCCCGGGAGAGCAGTCGAGGACGGCCCAGAGCTTTGGGACCCTGCACCCGCGTGGGAGACCCAGAAGAGGCTCCTGGCTTCAGATCGGCTTAGTATCGGCCGTTGCGCTCACTTGGGGAGTGAATCATCGGACGGAAGATCTTCCTCTCTGTCTCTCCTCTCTGTATATCTGCCTTTCCAGTAAAAAAATAATAAAAATAAATCTTTAAAAAAAATCTTTGTTTGTGCCCAGCGGTGTGGCCTAGTGGCTAAAGTCCTCGCCTTGAACGTGCCGGAATCCCATATGGGCACTGGTTCTCTCCCGGCAGCCCCACTTCCCATCCAGCTCCCTGCTTGTGGCCTGGGAAAGCAGTTGAGGACAGCCCAGAGCTTTGGGACCCTGCACCAGCGTGGGAAACCCGGAGGAGGTTCCTAGTTCCCGGCTTCGGATCAACGCAGCACCGGCCATTGTGGTCGTTTGGGGAATGAATCATCGGACGGAAAATCTTGCTCTGTCTCTCCTCCTCTCTGTATATCTGACTTTGTAATAAAACTAAATAAATAAATCTTTAAAAAAAAATCTTTGTTACATGTAGCTCCAAATCTTTTTGTTAGACTCTAGTGATATACACAGGAATAGAAACTCCAAGATTTCAAATTAAGACAAAGCAACATCATCACCTTTGTATTGCTAGGGCCATTTTTTGTGCAACACAAATGTCTCTAAATTAGCATCACTTAAGACCTTCTCTTTTTTTTAATATTTATTTTTATTGGAAAATCAGATTTACAGAAAGAAGGAGAGACAGAAAGACGAACGCCCAGTGGCTCACTCCCTAAGTGGTCGCAGCTGGAGCTGAATCGATCCGAAGCCAAGAGCTTCCTTCACATCTCCCTCATGGGTGCAGAGTCCCAAGGCATTAGGCTTATCATCGACTGCTTTCCCAGGCCACAAGCAGGGAACTGGATGGAAAGCGGAGCAGCTGAGACAGGAAATGGCACCCATATGGGATCCCGGGCATGCGAGTATTTAGCCAATAGACTATCACACCATGCCCAAGACCTCAATCTTAAAGTGGAGCAGATATAGAACACCTACCAACTATCCCTGCATAAATTAAGTCTGTATACTTAGTC